GAGGTTTAGTGAAAAGAAACAAAATGAGAAGCAACTCAAAGTTTTGGGCTTTTTTGTGAGAGATGACCCAGAGTTTTGGGGTTTTGTGAAATTTATCTAAAAGAAAGAGAAAAGGGAAAAAAAATAATTACTTGCACTTTGGTATTGTAAATTTATATTTTATTAAACTTTGATATCTCAAAATATTTTTTCTCGACACTTTGATGCTCTAATGTTTACAGTTTTTTAAAACTTTGATACGTAAAATTTGGTTTCTGACATTGTGATACCCTAACGTTTACGTTGTCAAATTTAAGGAAGTGTACATTTTAAAGTATCAACGATAAAATGGTGCAAGCTTGGGGTCTTAAAGCTTAAATATGTGTTTATTAGAAAAAATGTAAATAATGTGTAAACTTTGGATATCAAAGCCAAAATCGAGTAAACTGCATTTTAAAAATAAATAAATAAATAAATAACCTTGAACATCCAAGTTGAAAAAGGCGTAAAATTGAGGGCACCAAATGAAAGTGGTGAAAATGGGTTCAACTTGTTTTTTTCCCGAACAAATCTAAACAGTAGATACCTGTCGAAGCCTCAGGCCCCGCTCTCGTCTGTTGAACTCGAGGAACGGGAAGAAGAAGAAGAAGACAAATCCAGAGCTCCATGGATCCAGAGGAAGCTAAGGTTTCTAATTTCTTTTTCGTTTTTTTAAAGCAATCTATTGCCCTTCGATTGTGCAGTTAGCTTATGTCAGTTTATGATCCCTAGGGTTTGCCATCTCTGGCAATCTATCGATGTTTAATCGGTGGAAATTTGTGGAATAGAGGCTAATTCTTAGGGCTTTTGAGAATATTTGCGTTCGAAAATTACTAGTTCGGACTTTGGAGGTCTGCGGGTCCTCCGGTGATGGCTAGGTTTTGCGCTGTAACTGTTGATAGCGGATGAGTTGGTGAACTCTTCTAGGGTTTGGTTGGATGAGACACTGAACGGAAACACTAATTTAAGTTTCGAGTATACATGTGGGTCTTTGCATTCTGTATTGTAGACGGTGGAACTTTTGTCTGGGAGGGTTGTAGAGATTAACTGGGGGGCCGAGAATTATGTCTGGTGTTTGTTGGTGGAAGAGAGGAGAAATTTGATAAGCCTTCGAGAATGTCGAACCTTGTCATCCAGTGCTTAGAAAGATATATCATATATGGATTCATCCAGTCCTGTATATATCCTAATACATACACATATATCTTGTATTTTGTGCAATGTGCATGTATGAAATGAACACGGACAGATCCAGTTACATTTGCAGTGATTGGATACACTCCCCCTTATGTCAACTCTTTTCTAGTTTACTTGGAATTAACAATTCCAGAAGTCAGTGTAGGGTCGAAATACCAGTTTCTCATGCATCTGAAGTAAACCTACTCTTATTTTTTGAGGACTATATAGATTCTTGTAAGCTTAACTATTCTCAAACATAAAGTGATCTAGGTTGAAACTGGTTTTCAGGAATTTCTAACCATTTACACTGATTAGCTGCCTACAAAACACTCTGACATGTGGATGCTGAGATGCCTATGAGAAGCTAGAAATTTATCCAAACTATCTATCTTTGTCTATTTAAGAGGGAACCAACCCATGATGAAGCTTTTCTTGCAGTCTGCTGGGATAATTAATTAAGACTTATGCATTGAGAACTCTGTGATACCTTAATTAATGATAAGAAGTTTGACTAATCACTGCACTTGTTTTTGATATATTCAGGCCAAGCTTTCATCAGTGTCACGAGAACTTGGTCATGAGATCCGTGTATTCACAAATCCAGCAACTTCAGAAACATCTAATGCAGCATCAGCATCTTCTGTTGGTATTTACCTTTTATTGTGACTGCTCGAATATTGTGCTGTTATATCGCCATTTTTTTCCCTTTAAAAGTTGGACATCTCTGAGTTGAAAGATAGCTTGAATGTGGTCAATATGAAAGTTTTTTATGCACATTCATGCTTCTCTTTGAGTGCTTGGACTTGGATAATCATGCATTTAACCTACGAAGAAATCACAATTAATAGAGTGTTGTAAGTTATTTTTTGTAAATTTTAAGTGTCTGATATTAACTATGCATCACGTTTGCAGAAGAACCAGATGATTTCTATGATTTCACCCCTGAAGATTATTATCGGGTCATGTCTGACAAATTGGGAGGTAATCTTATTATAAAACGTGTTATTCTGTTTTCTTCACGTTCTTGGTTAAAAAAAAACTTAGAACAGCAGTGTAGAAGATTTTCTCAACAATTTAGGATCTGCTTTATCGCTCATTTGTTAAATTTTAGAACTTGGATTAAGATGTTTATCTCCTGGAAATGTGAACAGCACAGTCCCAAGTTCTGAAGACTCGTAAGATGAGGGAGGCAGAAATAGCTGCTCGGAGAGCAAGAATAACCAAGGTACGTGAGGCTATGTTATTGATCTATCTTTTTCTTTGTCACACTTCTAAATGACAGTGTGTCATAGTCTATTCTAGCTATAACTTACATGGACAATACCATAATTTTTATGATAAATATGAACTCAAGATAAATGGTACAGGTTTCCAATATTGATATTGGTTAGATGAATTGTCAAAAGGTTGGATATAGTTAACTAGGATCTTCCACCTTGGTTTCTTCTTAGTTACTTCCCAACTGTGATCCAAGTGCAACAGGAATAGTTAAAACAGAGAATTTGAAGCTTATTCATTTATTCCTTTTGAAAAATCCATATACAATTTAATTATGTGTCATTAAGTTCCCAATCAGCATTCTGTTAAAAAAAGGAAGATCCTAATAAGAATAACTAAGTGCCAGGCATTGGCAGAACAAAAACTGACATATCAACTGCAGCCAAGACAAGACATATCAACTGACATATGCAAATTCAGTTCAGGGATATGATTTAGAGGAATAAGTTTGTGTTATATTTTCCACATATTTTGTTTGTCTTATTTTGTTCTAATCCATAACCTATTAACTTGGAGAAGGTTGTTTCTCATATTTTCCCCCTTTGTTTCCTATGAGTTTTACCGTACTTTGCTTTGTGCAGGCTGTAATTAGGGTACGGTTCCCTGATAATTACATTCTCGAGATTAAGTTTAACCCTTCAGAAAAAATTCTAAGTTTAATGAATCTGCTTGGGAAAGTAGTTGCTCGACCAGATTTGCCATTTTATATATGTAAGTCCTGCAATGCTATGTTTTTGTCGCGCATGATCTATTTTTCATAATGTTATTATGTCCTTGTATTTTGTCATATTTTATTCGAATTGTAAATTATGATCTTTATCTAGTTTTTTTTTGAGAAACTCATCATTTCGTTTGATTAAATAGTATCTATTTGTTGGAATCGTGTTGCTAAAACTACTCTGGTCATTGATCAAAACAATCCTATCATATGTCTTTAGATGAATTCAAATTGGGATAATGCGACATGCACATGTATGATATAAAATTCAAATTGGGATGTTGTAGCACTCAATAGACAAGGATATGCCAATTTTATTGAAAAATATGATTAAATTTAGTCTAGCCAGAAAAGGTTTTAGATTTTGATTTGTAGGAACCACTAATTTGCATTATCAATATATAAAAATCTGCTATCAGATGCGCTGTAGATCTTTAAGTTCCGAATTCTGAAATACTATTCATTTTCAATTTATAGTCCTTTTCTCTCTGAATATTATTTGAATAATATTGAACCAACAGTTCAAAAGAACATTTATATACAGCTACCACTTTTCAGATTCAAGCTAACCATTGGCAAAACCTGAAGAGATGAGGGATGTTGACGATTTATTGGAAGTATCTTGTTCAGCATTAACCATGCTGCAACTATAACCTCAAACCACCCTTTTCAGGCTTTTAAACTATTTGTCCCATCTCACCATATTTTAAATGAGTAAAATATTGGTTGACGGATAACAGAACAATAAGAAGATTCTGCTAGTCTTAACACTTATACACTATGCTGCCTAGGTACGGGTACGGGTGCGGGTACGGGTACGGGTACTGGTACGAGACACGACAAATTTGTAAAAAGTAGGGTACGAGGACACGGCTATATATATATATATATATAATAATTCAATTTAGATCAATATTGAATTAAATACCTATTATATTTTTATATTTTTGTTATGTAAAGTGGAGATTATAAATAAGAAACTATAGTAATTAGTAACTATTTAAATAGATATCTTAACAATTGAATTAACTATATTAATTTGTAGATGAGTTTGCAAGAGGACATTTATGCAACAAAAGAAAATAGTAACTATAATAACATATTTGTATTTGTTAAGGGGCTTGCTGCAAAAAAAGAATTGATGAGGGGTTTATGGAAATATTAGCACATAGTATATAAAGGAAAAAAAAAGATCAACTTCTCCCAGCCCTAATTCTTCCGCCGCCCTTTATCTCCTCTTCGTTCTCTCCCATTCGTTCTCTCCCAGCCCTAATTCTTCCGCCGCTCTTTATCTCCTCTTCGTTCTCTCGAGAAAAAATGCATGATGGCTGGAAGAGGGCGCATGGAACCAGCCCCAACTTTCGTCGTCGAGGAAAAAGGAGAAAAAGGAGAGGCGCTGATCTTGTCGTCGAGGAAAAAGGAGAAAAAGGAGAAACAACAAAAACCAAACCCTAAAAATCAAACCTGTCTTCGAGCAGAGGCGCTGATCTCGTCGTCGAGGAGCTGATTTCGTCGTCGAGGCGCTGCAATTGACCCGACGCCTTGAGATCTAGAATCTGTCGTCGCTTCCGTTGATGAGTTATAAGGTTCGTAACTTTTTTTTTCAAGTTCGCAACTTTTTCCCCCTTATTTTGTGAAATCGCGGTGTCCCTACCGTTTGGGTGCGGATCCGCACCCAAAACGTACCCGACATGGGTACGGGACTTAGTTTGCCGTGTCGGGGTAACATAGCTTATACATGTTATGATGACAGGAGACTGCTCATACACAGTAATCTCATATCAATATTTCATAGAGAGTTAAGACTTTAAGCATCAAGCTGGGTTGTATGTGTCCAGTTTATCTTTCTCCTGGTTCAGCTTAGCTGTGCTAAAAGGTGATTAATTTGGTATTTTACAGCCATGAAGTTTGGTCATTGGCACCAAAGATGTTGTATATGTTCTTGAAAATATCTGTAGGTCGAGTTTTGAGCAAGTATTGGAATGGCGGTCTCTTTTTGCTTATGCCTGTAGAGGGTTCTTTATTGATTTATACTGTTTTTGTACTTTAGATACCACACCTCCAAAGGAGCGGATTAAAGACATGTCCAAGGATTTCTACTCAGCTGGGTTTGTTCCTGGAGCTATTGTTTACTTTTCATATGACGTGCCAAAAGGTTAGCCTGCATACATTTATATGGGAGATATAATTTACCCCATACAATATGTGATCATGTCTCTTTATTTTTCCATTGTTTGCCATTCTATATTTACTTAGGTTCTTTCCATTGTTTGCCTTTCTATATTTGCTTTTACTCTACTTAATTGGGCTCAATAAATGTTTTATAATTTATGACTGCATACAAGTTTTTTAACGGCAGTAATAGATGGTTGTCATCATGGACATCATTATCATCTTTGTCTTTTCCAATTAAAATCAAACCAGTTATGGAGCTCAAGGCTGCATGAAAAGTTCGATTATAATTTATAGCTGGTCGTTATCCTATCATTAACCATAACAAATTCGCTACATAGAATAGTGAGACATAATATAATTTCTTCTGGTATACATCACAACACAAGATTGTTCTAGAGCTATCTGAACCACATTTCAGCTAAAGCTGAAAAGATCACAACACCTTGATACAACACTATACTTGATAATGCCCTGTGCTAATCAAGTCTGTTCATATCTCATTGCCGACGTGAGCCACTATTACTTGGAGGCAAGGTCTTGTCAGCTGACCCTAGTGTCAAGTTTTTCATTTCAAAATCAAATCTGTAAATGGAAAAGTTACACTTAGATGGAAGGATTAACACTTAGTAAACAATATTTGCATTCCTGTATATCAGCATTGGCCAATTTCTTTCCCACATCTGAGCTATAGGAGGCATGGGGAGCTGAGCAAAGTGATAAGTTTGGAATACTTCTTTAACAGTTTTTTCTTTTAGTAACCTTCTTGACAGGAAATTTTCTCTTCATCGGTCCAGCAGACTTCATGGATCCTGCTTTCATTCGCTGCCTGGTTCATCAATGAGCTTCCTCCCTATAAGCACTTCCTGTAAGAAGCCCTAGACTTTGTTATCTGACAACCAGGGCACACGGGAGGTTCGAAAATGTGCATAACCTCTCATAGGTTATGTGGCCCTTAAATAGGCCCGAAAAAGGCCCTCGCGACCAAGACAGTCAAAAGCTTCAAGTTGATAATAAGTCATTAATTATATGTTAGTGAAACCAATTTCTTTTAGATGTTTCGCTCTGCAGGTCAAGAAGGTTTTCTTTTAAGCACAAGTTAAAATGACTGTTGTTTAATATGGATTGGGGTGAATGAGAAGCCCTTTGAGTGGGCTGTGAAAATTTGAGAGAGGAAAAGGTGTTATGTGAAGTTGGAAAGACAACTTGATAAGCTCATCCCCTGATATTTCTAACAGACAGGTTGGAAAGAAAGGTTGTTCATGCTGTCTATATCATAATTTGACAGAGAGACCAATACTGTGTATGCCTTCCCACATATTTTTAACAAACAAGTGGTTAAATTAGAATTTGCAGAAACGGATCCAGTTCAGTGCATGGTGCATACATACAATATTATACTTTTCTTGTCTTTTTTAATGCAAGGTGATTATACTTCTTCCTTCATCACCATCCTACTTATTTAATCAACTTTGGACCTGCCTTATGATACCAGGTCTAATATACTCTTGGGGCATGGCTTATCAAAACTGACCACTTGATTACTTGGAATTTTATAATATTTTCTCATTACTATTTCCATAACCTACATGTTTATGAATTTAATTAGTTATATGGTTAAATTAATTAGTTATATGGTTACCTTTTAAATGGCAGATTCTGATTCTTATAGTGCTGCAAATCTTGGGCCTTATCTTCAGGATGATATTCTGTCTCTGAACGGGTTGGATTTTAGTTGTGAACGAGTAAGTCCTGTTAGGTCAGTCCCCGAACCAGCTGTCATGGAGACTTCTGCTGTTCCAGAGCCTAAGCCTGCTGCTAAGAAGCCTACGAAGCCTAAATGGCTTAAATTGTAAACCCATTGCAATAGTGAGTACCCACTTTAGCTCTGGTTTCTTTTATTTCTGAACATTCTTAATCAATCTTATCAAATACACTCTTAAACAAACTTGCCTAGATAAGTTTTTTATTGATTATGTTCCACATAATAGTTACGCTAAATACTATAGTGCTCAATTTATAGGCAGAAGCAAAGTTGATGTTATCAGTGTTTTGAGTAATGGCCAAGTTTGAATTATGATCCATGTGAGAGGTCGACATCTATGCTTGGATAAGCCATAGGGCTGCCTTGTGCATAAGGTCGCAGCCATTGCGGTTTCTGGAAGGATCAGGACACAGCCTTGGTCCAGTCAAAGCAAGAAATGTGTTTCACCAACCCCTGGACCTCCAGGCTAGGACGTAGAGTAAGACTCATGAATGGAATTCAGTGTCCTGTTGCCTGTGTTTTGGAGTTCAGCAAGTCAAGGCATTTTATGGACACTCATATAAAAGATCTATTGATAAAAAAAGATGCGTGTAGACGGATATACCACACTGAATTTTGTGAAATGACATTCTGTATCCCATATCTTATATGAAGTTTTTAGGAATTGAAGTGGCAAAGATATGCTTACACGTGTTTCATTTCTTGTGCTTCTGTACTGTGCACAACTAGATCTCATATTTCTCCCTATATTTTTCTTTGTACTGTTACCATATTTATATTTCTGAAAGAAAAAAGTGGTACATATGCCTTGCTGTTGATTTTTGACTTTGATCATTATGATACTAAACTAGGCATTTATAGATTATCATTGGCAATTGTGAGTTTGTAGGTTAAGAGAGTAAATCTGGTCATAGTTGTGAAATCATTTCATCTAAATTTATATTGACCAAGGAAACATCTGATTTCTGCAATATAAGATCGATAGAGAGATTTTTTATAGGATGGAATAAATTGGCATCCCTATGTTTGTGAGTTTGTGTAATCACTACTTTACATTACAATGAGGAGTTGGGAGGTATTTCACAATGAAACCGGCAGGTACATCTGTAAGTTGGTTGTCAATATGTTTCCTTTTTCTTGGTCTACCAATATGAATCCTTTTTACTAATACTATTCTGTAAGTGACATTTTCTTCAGTTAAGTAGTTAACTATGTTCATCCTCTTTTACACCACAAACCAAATTTGTTCAGTCTATTTCCCACTATAGCATTTTAAACTGCAATTCCATTGGTCCTAATGTGTACGGCAATTGCTCTGTTTGAGGGAAAAATATGTATTTTGATGACCAAGTTGAGAAGTTAAGTATCTCACTTGAAAGTTCAAATAACCATTCTGTTCTCTTTAATTTGCTAATAATAGTTGCTCTCTTGTGTCGATCTATGCAAAAGTGAGGTTAAAATAATATTGTGATTGTAGAACATATGTAGGTTGATAGCTAAACTATGTTTTATCTAAGAAACTTGTCTCTAGGTCCCTTGAATTCAACAGGCGACTAGTGGATGCATACAGAAAAAAGATAAACCTTTTCTCAATACAGATATTTTAAGTAAATAGAAAGTGAAAGGAATGAAATATTATGAAAATAATCTATATCAATTCAACTCATCCTGTACATAATTGATTTATAGGTCGAGGCAAAGTCATTCAAATGTGTGCACTTTTACAACTTTTAAGGGACTCAAATACTAATTCTAACATACGGTAAATCTGATGAAGGGAAGAAAATCTTCTCATTATTCTTCCAAATAAAAAATTTCAAAGGTTGTAACTTGGTCAGTTGACGTAAGGTGTCTGTAGGCTCTGCAAGTGTATGTAAAGTCAGTAAGTCTCTAAAAGTATCCTCTCCAACCTTACATGTGTTACTTTTATAAGCCTCAGCAGTCCAATTATGTTATACGAGATAGTGTATTGAACAAAAATTGAAATGAGAGCTTACATTTTCATTAGGTATTTGTATTGTTACTTTTATAAAGCCTCAGCCGTCCAATTATGTTATACGAGATAGTGTATTGAATTTTTTTTTTTAAATGAGAGCTTACATTTTCATTAGGTATTTGTATTTGTATGTATCTCAGAGGGTGTCTGAAATCCAATACATTATGGAAGAAAGCTTGTATGAAGAGAAAAAATAATTCCTTGAGTAGAATCAAACCATGCACCTCCTTTGTAGGAGACCTCATAATACAATAATTATCCTTTTGCTAAGGAACACAAAAATTAGAGATGTATCAACAGTTAATTCTAATTGTGAACGTCCTAATCCATGCATAAAACTTTTATCTTATTGATATATGAAGTATGAAATGAGTGCACCAAGATTCCATGTACAAGATATGGTGCACCTGCTTTAGCTAGGTGTGTATTCAAAGGGAAACCCCCTGATGAAATCATGTAGGCATGTTCACACCGTCCCACACGCTTAGATATATTTGCTTTTGGTTAAAACCAGAATCTTATGGAACACATTTGACATTAAAGGAACTGAATGATAATCCTTTGTATAAATGAAATGGACTCATCATAACAATCTCATGTTTATGCTTGGGGAATATTGAGAAAAACATTTTATCATGCAAGTGATGCGTCAACAACTCTGTTAGATAGATAAAGTTCCATTTGCGACATGTTTTCTTTCTAAGTTTCTATGCTTCACTGTAATGTTATTACAATTTAGTATTCTATTATTATCGGTTTGAAGGTGCTTCCTCCTCTTACCCATTATTTCATTTTGTGAAGAACGAAATGATTATTTTGTGTCAGCTTACTAAAGGTCTTTGCGAATTCCAATTTTTCGTAGCAGGGAGATAGATACATGTTCTTGTTCACCACCGACAGAGGTATCAAGCAACATGGGAGCCCACAGAGTTGGGTATCCAGATTCCAGAAGTTGCCACAGTCATGAAAAATTGTTAAACTGATGAGGATTGCTCCGCAAAATTGATAATTGCATCCAAAGTGCCCTTTTTTTGTAATTGTTAGTCCTTACAGAACTTAATCTGTCAAAGTATATGATCTTAAAGATAATATCCTGTTGCCCTGTATATTGTTCAGATGTTAGAAATTTCAGGATCAGTACATAGTGAGGAAGCTCTCTATTCGCACCGTTATGATTGAAACAACTTTCTTCCCTTGTATCTCTGGTGGCTTATGAATGTGCCTCATTTGAACTTTCCTCTGTAACTCCAAGGTACATGCACAGGCTTCACTGGTTCTGAGCTTACCACTCAGGATATTGAATGACTTGCTAGGTGATGATGAGCCTCATGAGCAGTTCATTCATCTCTTAACAAATTCTATCTGCAAAGTTAGCTGTGTGTGTGTGTATTTCAATAAATGTTATATATAGTGCTGGATGTGAAGAATCTTATTTGAGAGTTTGAAATTTGGTGCGAATTTTAAGTCACAAGCATCCAAAACACTTAATGTACTATTCGCTAATTATAGACGTAGTAAATACAAAAAATTAGACAAAAATACTTTCTCGGATCTTTAAAATTCATATATCATAGGTTTTGCAAATAAATTCAAGCTAAACAATCGAAGGCAAAATTATATATTTTAGTAAGACTATTCGAATTTGTTATCAAATAGGCAAAGAATGAGTGAAAATTGTCATCCGAATATTTTCCTAAGTAATTACATAAATCTGATTTTTATGTATCACAATTCTTAAGATTTTACATTATCGCGTGTGTGTATATATATATGTGTGTGTATATATATACATATGTGTGCATGTGTGCGTGTATATGAAATGTAGGAACTAGGTACCAAGCATGTATTTGGTGCTTGGTAATGAAGTGTCTCATTCTTATCTACTCTGCAACCTATGTAAATGTGGTCTTCCATTTGAGTGAGAGAATAGGAATGAGTCACCTCACTATTAAGCACAAAAACTTATGTCTAGTACCAAGTTTCTCCATATCTATCACACAAACA